CGAAGTACTACACTGGGTTTTGCCTGCGGCGACAGCTTTTTAGAGTTACCAAAAGCCGTATGTGGATTATTTCAGAATAATTCTGCTAGTGTTTCCATTAGGGTTGTTTTCCCTGAACCAGGCACACAGGCAACTCTTGGGAATATTTTTAAACAACAGTGGGAACGAGAGCCTCTTTGCCAGGCAATCGGTGTTCATTTGGGGGTGAAAGACGTCAAGCTTTATGTTGGTTTAGACCAGAATGACAGGACAATGTTAGAGAACCGGTTCCAAAACAGCAAAAATTCCGACGAAGTTGTTGTTCAGTATGAGGCCGGAAATGTGGAATTTTTTTCTTTCGACAACAATTTTTGGGTCAAGGACACAAGCTTAGAGAACGAGTTCCAGCAGAAAATCCGGGAAGCTGAACGCGTGACTATTTTCATTGATTCTTCCTCTCGGATAGATAGCCGGCGCGTCTTTAAAGTAGGAGAACACAGCGCGACTGACCTGGCGGACACGCTGATTAATATTCTCGGCACAAAAGAGCACCCCCACCAGCGGGTAAAAGTCAGGTTTCCAAAACCGGTTTTGAGCCTTAATGCCGGGCGGCAATTTATTAATCACGCTATCGGACAGATGCACAACCGCGGAACGGACGCCTACGGAAAAGAGCCCAGCGTGACTCTGTATCTCATTCTGGACATGGACAACGCATTTTATAACTTATTGTTCCGGTTTCATTTCATCTACTTTCCCACAGAAGGCATTTTTGTCGTGCATTATCGAGGGAATCACGGGCGGTTCTTTGAGTATAACTGTCCCAGTGTTGACGCCTGCGGATTAAATGAAGCAAACGATGAAAAATTAAGAAGTAGGATTTCAGAGGCAGAGGAGCTGTCCATTGTTATCTCTCCCCATGGCAATTACAAAGAGAATAAATGCACACACTGGCAGGTTGCTGGAAAAGATCCAGACAAACTGGCCTGTATAATAGGACGTTTACTTTTAAGCAAGTCGATTAAAGTTGTGAATAAAAGAGTAGAAGTTAAATACTTCTTCTGCAATGCTGAGAGCAAAGATACTGAAATGTATACTAGAAGATTTCTGAGTAGCATTGATGCAAATGTTTTACTCATAAAGGAAGTTATAGCTCTGAACAGGGGAGCGCTAAAGGCTGATAAGGGTGATGTTTCTTCTCAAACTGCTTCTGGGAGAAATACGAAAAAGAAATCTCAAAATGTCCTTGGTGCAAAAAACAGCCATGGAGAATTTTCAGATGAGCTTAAAGGTCTCAGGCTTTTAAAAGGAAAATTTACCACTAGAACAACCAGAAACAGAGACACTACATTGGTTTCATTCCCTACAATGCCAGCTGAAGAATACAAAATCTACAAATTAAAGTCTTCTTGCTCTAATGGAAAAAATAAGAAAGGGGATCTTTGAAACATTTTCCTGTGTATTATTCAACAGCATCGGGACACATGTCTGAATATATCACATCCTGAGGCTTTTGAGAACTTCCAAAGCAATTGGCATTAAAAATCTTTTTTTTTTTTTACTTTGAGTTTTACGCCACAAGTCAAGAAAACAAGCTCTTCAAGTTTTTTATACCTGTTCTCTTGCATGGCAAATATCTTAAACCTGCCTGCACCTGGGTTCTGTGATCTAGTCTTGACACTTATTGTTTTAGCTCCATTAAGAAACATTGTGTCAAGAATTTTGTTTTTTAATTAGAGCTGTACTTGTCTAAAAGCCAAATTAAATGGGAGGTTAAATAAGGGCTAACAGACCTTTTTTAAAAAAAATCACCAAATATTTTTGTTTTATATTTATATTATGTGCCATTGAGCTATTTTACAGGTTTCCATACCATTGAGAACCACAGGTTTTCAGGGGAATCTTTATGAACAGAAAGTAAACACCTGCATTTCCTAAAGGTTAATATCAGAATCAGGTGTATTAAAGTGCTTTGACCTCAAAAACTGAGAAGGAGCATAAAGATTCCTCTCCTACTGTTTGTGACAATTTGACGTTTGTGTGTCAAGCATACCACATCCAGAGAAAAGGGCTAACCTTTGCTGTAAGTGAATTTTTCCTGGTTATACAGATTGTGTAGCTGAAAATGAGTAGTGCTTCATGATGAGAAAGGCCTGTCTTTCTGTTCTGTGTGTTGGGTGGGAGGGCAGCATGATGTGTACTTATTCCGATAAGCTACACAGCATCTCCCTATCTTTGTTAATGGCACTGTACGTTCTGGGTCCTTCAATAAAGACCTGTATTGTTCAAAAAGAAGGTGGCATTTATTTTCATTTCTAATGAATGATATCATTTTGCTGTAGGTAAAGAGGTCATCCTACCATGAGCTGAATTTTCCTTCACTTTAATCTGGGTGACAAGCAAGACAGAGTCTCACACTAATTTGCAGCAAAGGCATGACTCTGGTTCTGTCAATACACAGGTGAAATTACTATTTAAAGCCTTTGGTATGTTCCAGACAAAAACTGAGAGAAACACTCTGGGAGTCTCCTGTAAGTTTTATATTAGTACTACAGTCAGAGGTATGAACTTGTGGTTAAGGCTCTGGACACATTAGGAGAAAATTGTGGATCGGCAAAATACTAATGAATGCATTATACAGGTCTTATTTGTGAAATATGAAGAGTAAGTGGTGGCTCTGTGGCTAAGGATATGTGCCTGTGGCTGAAAGGTTGCTGGTTCAAATCTTGCAGCTGGCAGAGGAATCCTACTTCATTGGGTTCCTGAGCAAGGCCCTTAACCCCAACTGCTCCAGGGGTGCTGTACAAAAGCAGACCCTGTGCTCTGACCCCATGCTCTCTCCCTGTCTGTGTGTCTCATGGAGAGCAAGCTGGGGTATGTGAAAAGACAAATTCTTAATGCAAGGAATTGTAAAGGGTTAATAAAGTGATGTTATTATTAATGACAATAGGCAACGTACCTAGCCAGACTTTATGCAGGAGTTTTATATTCTTTTCATTAGTGTGTCACCCATACAGAACTAACATGTGGTCTACAGGATGCTCCTAAAATAAAGTGCTATTCCAGTGAGCAACACATTCCCAGCTCCTTTCATTCTGTAGCCATACAGCAAGACTTCCTTACCGATGTGTAAGATTGTAGACACATGTTTCCATACAAGTTTCCTGTATTGTTCCTTCTACTTTTTGTGTTCCTGCCTGTGATTTTAATTATCAACTTTATTTATATAATGCCTCTAAAAGTGACTCTAAAAGCTGCAGAAGCATAAAAAAAAAAGCAGACAGTTAGAGGAGACACCAGAATTGCGCAATTGCAATAAGTAGTTTGAATTACAGTAGGAAAGCCAAGGGACAGACACAGAACAAATTAAACAAAAGCCCTTCTAAAGAAGGTTTTGAGTCACTGATATGATGGAGATGTCATTCCAGAGCTCTGGGACACAGCAAGTGAAGGCACTGTCACCCAAACTACTGTATGTAGATGGGCTTGGAGGACAAACAGGAGACCAGAATTAGATGAATGAAGTTTGCGAAGTGGGGAGTAGGATGATAGTAGCTTAGACAGGTACTGAGGTGCCGAGCCATGCAGAGCCTTGTAGGTGAGCATGAGGATTTTGGAGTCAACTTGAGACCTGATAGGAAGCCAGTGCAAGGACTCCAGGATAGGAGTAATGTGGTCTCTTAGCCAAGACCTGGTCAGGGTTCTGACTGCCCGAATTCAGGACATACTGACGTTTGTTCAGTGTGGATTTAGATACCTCCAGCAAGCAGAATATTACAAAACTCAATGTTCTGTAACATTTGCTATAATTATTTCAACTACTCTTGTTTGCCCTCTTGTGGTGACTGAAGGAATGAAACACTTATGTTCTGATTAAAAAAAACATTGTTACAGGCTGAGGTAGGTGATAATGAAAGTGTCTAAGACTCTAGATAAAGTGTGTAACAACTGGCAGTGTAACAATTTCCAGCTTCAAAGCAGAAGGGTGTTTGCTGAGATGTAAGGGATCCAGAATCTGTAATCAAATCAAAGTTTTCCTCAGTTAATTAAGTTGTGGGTAAATGATTAAGTGTCAATCAACAGTCCAGAAACAAACCATATAAGATCAGATCAGGAGTAGAGAAAAACAGGGGAAAAGAAGGTCACACAGCAAGAGAGAAGCAAAGAGGAAATGGAACTTGAAGCTTGGGCCAGGTGAGAGCACCTACTTCATGATCATCCAAAAAAACGAAGTATTTGAACCTTGCTAGAGAGAGCTTGCTATTCTGTGTTTTTAGGGAATTTGGGTTTCCTGAGTCAAGAATACCTCTGTTAAAATGGCCTTTCCTGCTTGGGGGTGCATTCTTAGAATAGGGAGATACGCTCCCACTTATTCTGTGGCATGCGGGTTTTCAGAGAGATTTTATCGGAAGGTTGTATTGCATTTAGTTTAGAAGTCAGCTTTTTTCCTATTTTGGCCTTTGTAGGCATTAAGAGTTGAATACTTGGTAAGAGTTTGGGGTTTTTCTGGGTGATTAGGATGTTAGGAATCTGGAATGCAACTACTGTACTGCAGTGCTATTTTTTTCTGACAGAACTTCAGTGCAAATGTAATGGATATCTATATGAACACTGACTTTTAACACCACTGCAACCTGTGGTCCATTGCTTCCTTTGTTGCCCAAGACATGATTCCCTTGTAATAATCATCTGATTCAACCTTCCTGATGCTCTACAAAATTTGAAACACTTCAATCAAGTCAGACATGTTTTTCTGTCACTAAAGAGATTGTTCCTGCAATGGGTACTCATAACAATGTCCAAGCAAACTGACTTTCAGTGTTGTTTTTACACACTACTGCAAATGGCTACGAAAAGCTTCTCTGTGTTTCCTAGTCCCATTGACATTGAAGCAGAGGGGATCAGTCATCATCACACAACTGACAGTTCAGTGCTCATCTTGTGCCCAAAGATGGGTTGAGCTGGGATAGAGAAAAGAGTGCAATGTGTGGTACAACCCAGGAAAATTATATTTTCACCTCTTTCTTTATTATGAAGCTATAACACATCAGTATATAGATATACAATACATATCCAGGCAATAATGGCTTGAAAATCACATAGAATGGTTAAATGTGTTTTGGAATTTGTAAGCAAAGAAATAATTATGAACAGACATCAATGCGCTCCTTTGTTAACTTTGCTTACTGGCCACATTCATGGTCAATACTGCTTGTCTGGCCCATTCAATAATCATTTATTTGATCGAATTGTGAGCCAAGGACTGTTGTAAGAAAGAACATATCATTGTAATCTAATGTATAGCTTGGAGACAAGCCTTTTTATTTTTGCTTTTGGGTTTTGTTTCCACAAACAAAAGGTGAAATTCCCAAAACCACCCAAAAATTGATTGGAGCGGTCCGTTACATGCTCTGGATTGCATAATGAATTCCCCTGCAGATTATTTCATTTGGATTCTGTGATGGAGTGTAAATTTAATAAAGAGTCCCACACAGCCCATTTGTGACCTCAAATAACAAACTGAACCAAATATACAGTATGGTGGCAAAGGCTTAATTACAATTTAGTCTAATAAACTATTTGACTCTGCCAGAAGCACAGACTCTGTCAGAAAAATGTGCTTGGACAGTTTGAGGTACTGTACTTCATGGTCAAAACCCCATCAAGAATGGGTTGCCCCTGTACAGACCCAGGGTTGTGAGTTGATTTCTTCCTGTAGCTCAGAAGATCTGTCTGCCTCCTCATTTGACATTTTCCTGGTCCGTCTGGACTTTCTTCCAGCCCTGCATGAAACTGAAGCTTGTGCTCCTGTGCCTGAAGGAAGGCAGGTTGGGAGTCCGAGATTTGGGCAAGGAGCTGAGAATCCCGTTCTTGGTGTCATCACCCCGCTGTCTCATTATGGCCAGCGCTGGGGTCACCTTCAGGTGGTAGGGGTCATCACGCTGGGAACAGGGCAAGGATCAGTGAGATTAAGCAGGGTTTACATCAGACTGTAGTCACATTAACAATAAATCTGTCCTTCAACTTGTCTGGCCTTCTTAAAGTTTTGCAGTGGAGTGATTTATATTGTAATGCTTCGGGGTTCAAGTGGGCATCCACACCACTGCCACATCAGGTTGGCCCCCCACCGTCAGGGACTTGAACCCAGGCCTCCAGCGTCACTCAACAGGGACCCAGCCTCTTGAGCCAAAAGGAAATCTCCCGTCAGCCGGGCAGCTGTGGTCCCTAATATACACAGGGAAGGGAGGTGACATCACCACGCTGGTAAGTCGGCCCTCACAAGCAATGGAGACCGTATGCGTTACAATACATATAACACAGGTATCTGTACAGTGGTTTGGAAAAGAGCTGTCCTACTTGGTTTGGAGGGCTCTCCATTTAATCTGTTTTGTTTTTTTTAATGGAGTTTGTAACAAAAGTTCAGGAGGAATGACAATGGCCAAGTTCAATCAGACTCAACTGTCAGTAATTAGCAATCACTTCTGAGGTCATTTCCTCTCCTAAACACTATAACTACTGTGTGTGATTCCCTTCTCTCTCTCAAATGTCTTTTTGCATCCCACCTCCACCCCATCTCCATCTCTGCAGCTGCCCATTAGTCACTCCTCACTCTGCAGGGGGGTCCCAACCTCCTTGTCCTCTGGCCAGGAGGTCAGCCCTCAAACAAGTGGGTGAAGCCAACTTTTCACTAAACATTTTATAACTCTTTCATTACACTTAATTCTTGGGTGTTGTTATTCCTTGTGACATTTCAGGGTATGTACTACTTTAATATATATTAATACACTTGTGTTGACAGAATTCATTATAGTGCATAATAAGTGCAAGTCATTATGAGTTTTGTACTACAATGAAAGTACTCATTACAGTAAAACACTCAGACAATGTACTTGTCTGGGTGATGTTTGCATGATCTGCTTGTGTTTTGGAGGATTTTCCTCCACCACCAAGACATGTAACTTAGTTTAATTTGCTCCTTGAAAATAATAATTCCATACACTTATATAGCACTTTTCTGGACACTCAACTCATAGCACTTTACAGGTAGTGGGGACTCCCCCCCACCTGGATGATGCAACGGCAGCCATCATGCGCCAGAACGCTCCCCACACACCAGCTCTCAGTGGGGAGGAGAACAGAGTGATGAAGCCAAATCATAGATGAGGATTATTAGGAGGCCATGATTGGTAAGGGCCAATGGGAAATTTGGCCAGGACACAGGGGTTAAACCCCCTACTCTTTTCGAGAAACACCCTGGGATTTTTAATGACCACAGAGAGTCAGGACCTCAGTTTTACATCTCATCTGAAGGACGGTGCCTTTTAACAGTATAGTGTCCCCGTCACTATACTGGGGCATTAGGACCCACATAGACAGCAGGGTGAGCGCCCCCTGCTGGCCCCACTTACACCTCTTCCAGCAGCAACCTTAGTTTTTCCCAGGAGTTCTCCCATCCAGGTACTGAGTAGGCTCACACCTGCTGAGCTTCAGTGGGCTGCCAGTTGTTAATTGCAGGGTGATATGGCTGCTGGCTAAAATGTCCCCACCCAGGGATCAGTCCCTGGTCCCCATGAGGAAAAAAAAAACTAGGAGCTCTAACGTATTACTTTCCATACTACACAGTTGTATTGTGGGTGTCTGAAGACATCCCACTGGGGCAAGTATAATTTAAAGGAATATTATTATTCACAAGGACAGGGGATCTGTCAGTTGCAGCTCTGAACCTACAGCAGAGCATTTTCAGGACCCCCAGATTTATTCTTTTATAAATTTAGGCAGTGTAACCAGATGTACCCCTGAACCTCACACTCTCTCTTCAAACCATTTTCCTGAAGGAGCATGCAGATAGTCTCTGCCATTCTATCCACTGGCATTGGCTTACCTTGGCTTGTGACAGCCTAAAGCTAGTGGTCTTCTCCAAACCATCCTCAGAGAACTGGCTCAGGTCCCACATGGACTTGCTGGCCCCAGGCACAGCAGTGCGAGCTCCCCTCACAGGCTGGGCCAGGGAACTGCGCCGTGCCTGCAGTCCCTTGAGGATGTCGCTGAGAGAACTGGAGGCTCCAGTGTGGGAGGGCTGAGATTTCTGTGACCGACGTAAAGAGACAGAAGAACCTATAGGTGTTGCCTGCATACAGACACTGTGACAAAGTATACTAGTACTACTTAAAGTAGTAGTACTACTTAAACTTAACATGAAATCCAGTTATGAACTCCTTTGGTACGGCCTCCATTAGAACATATCTATGCAATTTTGGTTAAAGAATGGACATTGATGTACAGAGCTTTCAAAATAATCACTTGTTTTACAGGCAATGTTGTACACAGAAGTTTCAAGTCTTCAATGTTCTGGCTTGTATAGCTATTTTAATGGATTTTGATTGAAGTATTCAAAATCCTGAAAGTTATTGGCAATGCCAAAAAATAGGAACAGGAATTAATCATTATTATATACCTGACCAATTTGAAATGGCCAATAGTAATAATATTAATAATTGCTTACACTTATATAGCACTTTTCTGGACACTCCACTCAAAGCGCTTTACAGGTAATGGGGACTCCCCTCCAGCACCACCAATGGTGTCTTTAGAGTTGGCTTGCCGTGAAGATGCCTGGACCCACATGTGGGCTGATGGTCATTTGGAAATGTGGAAGGTCCGTCAATGACATTACAGAAAAACTTGCAATTTCTTGGGAAGTCGCAGAGGTTCTTGTTTTACCAAGAACCATGGCTAACCAATTTCAACCACTGGCGGTGCTAAGGAAATTGTGTCACTAATCACGGTCACTGATGGCCCGAGACTTGGACTCAAGGAGCTCAAACCGTACATGCCCTCGCAGCTTGAACCACTTTGGAGATGTACACCTCAAACAGAAACACATGCAAAGACTTGCCTTTGATTCGTCAGGCCCAAGAGTCTGCTCTGTCTCTGCCAGTTCAACATTTAGGGCTGTTCCCACCAGTGTGTTTCTTCTGAGCCTGGAGGAGAACTGCCTGAGACCCGGGACTTCCTCTTCACTGTGACTGGAGGATCTGGCTCTGAAGTCCTCCCTTGCAGAGACCTCTGTGCTGTGATTGGGCGACTCGCCACTTTGCCCTTCAGATGGGTTGAAGACGTGGGCGTTTGCAAGCGGCTCATCCTTGGGCTTGCCGCTAAGAAAGGAAGCACAAATGAGCAGCACTGCCAAAGGGAGGCAGGTTGAAGGTTTATTTGATATGTAACAGACTGCCTCATGAGATCCAATCCAGCTTTGCTAATTTTCTTCGATGCTATAACTGTTCGTCGTTGCCTGCATCTCACACAGTACAGCTAAAAACAGGGATGTAGATCTTTTTGTTATCAAGCTCTGTGCTGAGGGAAGTCCCCAGCCAATTACATTAAAGACTTTTAAAGACGTTTGTTTAAAAAGAACCAATAAGCGCTGAATTGACATTTTTCACTTCTGTGCGTATCTCGAGGTCACATTCGCACAAAGGACCTAAGAAATTCTAATAAGTAATGCACTGTACTACTAGCTTTTTTAAAATTAAAATACTAGAACAGAGATGTTATTGAACATACAGTGCTCACAATTAGTTGACAAAGTTCTACATACAGTAAATGTATATTGTGATGCCATAATTTCCCCCCATCATTTACGGATGCTTTTGCCCCCACCAAGATAGCCACAAAAAAACAACTGCCCATCAATTACTGGAACATGGAACAGCTGCATGCCCTGTTCAAGCGTTGTCGGCCACCTCTTTCGCCCTCCCGCCCTCCCCCCCTTGAGACAGCCCTGATAGCACATCCAGTGTTTTTAACAATTGCAGTTGCTGTCACCAGTGCTGAACACTTGTTTAGCAAACTGAAATTGATCAAAACTTATCTAAGGTCCACCGTGTCGCAGGAAAGACTGTCAGCTCTGGCTTTGCTGTCTGTAGAGAACAGCACCGCAAGGCAGGTGGATTTCAGTGATATCATCGCTGTGTTTGCTTCGACGAAAGCGCAAAGAGTCAAGTTGTAAACTTTAAAATAACTAGTTACTAATTATTGTTATTGTAGAAACCAAGAGATTCGAGCCTAAGGTGTCTGTTCGCCAAGCCAAGCTTTATTGTATGCATACAAGGAACCACAATAAGGACTATTGTTATAGTAGTTCAAAGGAGATTCGACACTACACAGTTTACAGTATATACACTTTTCTCCTCCCCCCCATGTCTTTGAGGTACAGTACTTTCCCAAGAAACTCAAGGACTCAGAGAGCAATTAAATTAAACATTCCTTCCTTATCAGATAGTTTAGTACAGAAGATGGGAGTTTGGTACAGAAAGGGAGAAGCATCTGTGCTCAAGCAAGCGTGAAGGTTAATAATAATAATAATTGCTTACACTTATATAGCCCTTTTCTGGACACTCCACTCAAAGCGCTTTACAGGTAATGGGGATCCCCTACACCAGCACCAATGTGCAGCCCCACCTGGATGATGCGACGGCAGCCATAGTGCGCCAGAACGCTCACCACACATCAGCTATCAGTGGGGAGGAGAGCAGAGTAATGTAGCCAATTCTTAGAGTTTAGCATGTGAATTCAGCAGGAGTTCACATCTCCAACCACTATATTGGTACAGAGTAACAGACAGATTCTGCTAGCGGACTCCATCGGTATCAAGTTCAAGATGTGAGCCCGTTTTAATTCTGCTCTCTTTCTCTGTGTGCACTGGCGGAGGGAGGAGGAAGCCGGGGAAGGGGGCTGGGGGGGCTTTGGTACTGTTTTTACTTGCACCCGGGCCCAAGTATGGGTTGCGCCAGCCCTGGTCAGAAGTGAGCTGCAGATGCCAACTTTGTAGAAGCAAGGAGAGTGAAAGGAGACTGCAGCAAAAGGAGACACTGTGAGATTGTGGTGGGAAACCGTCAAGACCAAGGACCAGAGGAGAAACTGAATAGAGGAAGGAAACGTACATAGGTGAAGGTGAAGAAACTTCACTAGGTGTGTGGAAATGTCCTTTTTTGTTTAATACAACAGTGCTCCAGCTAGCAAAAAACTAGAAACACCATGATGTACTAAGACAGAACTTTTATTGCCCTTTTAATTTATAGAAAGGGCTATTTCCAAACCAAACTTGTAAGAAAAGCAGAGCAGCACAGTCTTTTCTATCTGCCTGTCAGTTCTGGAGTGAACACAAACAGTACTCTGTATTTCCTTCTGCATCACTCCATTTCCTAGGCAGCCACACATTTCCCCCCACCCTTTCTGAAGATATTACAGCCATACCTCCAAAGCTGCCAAATGTTGGGTGTGGAAATGGAGACAGATACAATATGTACTTCAATGGAAAGTGACTGCTCAATCGCTTCTCTCCACATGGCTAAGTGCACACTTTGAATCCTACTGTTAATATGATTCAAGGTCTTTAATAATGGGACTATCTTCTCCTGCACTGAGTCCCCCTCATGTGCTCTTTGCACCAGATTGTGCAGTTTTTATTGGGGAAATCTTTCCTGTTTTTCTCCCTCAGCCCCTTCTAACATCCACTGGGATCCTAACTGGGAGATGGGTTTGTCGTTTTTCCCTACCGTTGCGCTGAGTAACTGCTGCTCCAGGTGGGCGTTTCTGTTTGAGATCGGAGACGTGTACTGGAAGACAAGCAGAAATGTAGAAGAGGAATGAGAGTGATTTCCAGGAAACAATGTCAAACATTTTGACCTTTTGAGGATTTCTTTTAACTTTGTTCATCACAAACACAAACAGCAGGTCTCACTTTAAACAACGGGTGTTTGGCTGCATCCATGTACTGCTTTATATACAACATATCAGCTGTGACAGTAGTGCTTTGGGACTCAACAGTGGCTATGCAATGAGGCCTGATCTCAAGGAAGCAGTGCATATCTTCTGAAAAGAAATCAGTGTCTTAAAGATTGCTTTAAGAAAAATGTTAAATCTGCTTTTTAGTTAGTTTTCTGATGGGGAAATGCTTTATTTCTTCCAATCAAAACACACATTTTCCCTTTTTCTGTTTATAATCCTTGATATCTGGGACCATCCAACAACAACCCAAACTGAACAGACGAATACTGTTCACTTGATTCATGATTTATGGTTTATGGTTGTTTGATACCATGTGCTCTGATTCAGCACAGAGGTGAGGTGGGAGCTGGATAACACATTTTAATAGTTAATAAACGAGAGGAAACAATTTGTTCCACCTATCTCTTTTGGAAATGAGTATCTTATTCATTCTAGGATTTCACTTAGCCATTCTTGGAAGAATCCAGGGTATCAGCTTCACCAACAGGTGAGATACCTTGTTCTATACTCACACAACCCTTTGGTGAAGAAGTGCCTCTGGTTCATGTTTATTAATCATGTTGAATATGTTCTCTGCATTGTCTTTGTCAGTACTCTTGAGTGAGGATCTTGAGGACACTATCGTATCAATTCATTTCCTAATCTCTTTGTCTTTGAGGATTTCAGGACACTATACATTAACATCAGCCCAAGATGATTGGTAGGTTCTCAAGATTTATTTTTTCAAACAGAGAACAAAGTTGCATACCTTTGTGTGCTTTGAAGATTGGAGTCCCATGGATTGTGTCTCCTTAATTGAGAGAAAATAACAAAACTGCCTAAAACTGAATACATTATTCATCTCAATATAACCATGCTGTTACTGCTGACAAAATCAAAACACCTTTCATACAGTGGTCAAGTAAAAGTATCTTGAATATGTTCTACCAAAGCTGGAATTTAGAGGAGGCTTCTGTTCTTGAGTTGTATATAGTTGAAACAACCTTCAGATACTGCTACTAATTCTGAAGAAGAAGAAGTTGAAAGCACCCACCTGTATTTTGGGGGGCTGCTACTCTGTGCTTCAGTCTGAGAATGGAGACATGCACTGGAAGACACACAGCACTGAATATAAGATCTATGCATCAAGTCCCGTGGGTTTTCAGAAGAATTTTAAAGATTAAACTAAATAAGCTTTGTGGAAAACATTTGATTAAATCTTATTAACTTACTCTATTGCTTTCTGGATTTCAGAATTCTGGGGACCAGTTTTCCTGTCAGAAAAATCAGAAATATTTAAATATGAGAGTCTGCTGAAATAACAGTATTATCATGCAAACAGATGCAGCCCAGACTAAGGATTTATTCCATCTAGATCATTGACTAGTAAATAGATTAATTAATCTTTGGATCTCCCTCAGCCATTTTTTAAAATAAGTCAGGGTATCAGCTTCTCCAACAGGCTGGGTAGTTTGTTCTATACTCCCACTACTCTTTGTGTAAAGAAGTGCTTCCTGTGCCCTCTGCTTCATGAATAACTAATCATTCTAAATACATCCTCTAGGTTGTGTTTGTCAGTTCTCTTGAGGGTTTTGGCTACTTATATCAAGCCCCTTCACAATCTTCTTGCCTACAGGACACTGTAGGTTAACATCAGCTGGCACAGACAGTAAAAAACCTGTGCTGAAAGACGCACATAAGCTAAACATTGAACTAATCGCAGGATGCTTGTTAAGAGTTTTTAGGATTTTATTGTCTAAAAAGCATTAAGTTACATATATTTGTGCATTCTTGACATCTGACTCCTTAGGATCATGTTTCCTAGAAGAGAAAACTAAAAGATTATTTTTTTATATTGTCGGTGTCAATATGAAGACAGGTCAGCTCTCAGTTTGGTAAAAGGATTAACATATTTCTTTCAGTCAAAGCTGGAATTTTGGAATTGTTGTTACGTAATGGGAGACTCACAATCTCTAATTGTTGTGAAATACTTGCTGAAACACTACCAGTCCAAATGTTATTGAACAGAACTATTTCATTTCCACATCATTCAAGTTGAAGGGTTCCAGACTGCAGAAAACCCTTCCTTTAGCCTGTTTACTGGTAGAGGAGCCCTATGTCACTCAACACACCAAGGCCAGGCAAAGATTTAAAGGAAAAACAACCAATGTGAAATGCCTTCCTAAACCCTTTCTTAACACTTAGGTCATGGTTGAACACATGGTACTGGGATCTCATTGTAAGTGTAATTATTTATTTTTTGAAAATCTAATGCTTTTTTTTTAAACAAGATCATTGTACTTGGAAATGTAGCTGCATTTGAAATTTGAAATATATTCAAGCATAGCTGTGTATTTAACAATAAACTGAATGTAGAATATTCAGCCACAACACAACATATAAATTATGTCATCTGAAAAGCCAAAAGGATCTGTGTTTCTTTTTTAAATGCAATTAAAACAGAAACTCTGTGGGAGTCGGAAAGGTGAATTGAAACTGCCTTATACAAAGAGCACTTATCCCAGAGACAAGATACTCCTCAGTGAGAATAGACACAGAATTGTTGCCTAGAACAGGAGTTTATTACACACACTGGACCTGTGTCCTGTGTCCTGTGAGGCTGCTGATCTTAATCTGTGGTTTGGTCTGAAATGGGGATATATGTGCTGGAAGACACACAGAGGAACAAAGGTAAACATCAGCACAGGAGGACCTCAGGTGGTCACAGGAAACTTAAAGTGTTTAGAAAACATTAACACAGTCAAATCTTGTAACTGAAAACAGATTCGTTACATCTATAGTCTCCTTTTTCCTAAAAATACAAAAGTTTTAAGAAAGAAAGAGAAGAACGTTTTAACAGTTTATGCTGCCTGTGTAAATGATACTATTATTACTAAGAAGCTGCAGACACTCACTGTAATGGTAAGGTCAACAATTAAAGTTCTGTTATCTTCCATCTCTTTTTACATAGGCAAAATAAATGGAAAAAGGAACTACTGTACAGACTGTGCCCTAAAACATTATAAGAAGGAAAGCCAAGCTTTTCTTTAAGCTTAGTGAATTAACAAAGCACCACAAAGGTGCTGAAATGGACACATTCACAAGCTTCGTAGGAAATATTAAATATAGTTGCTTACATTGGTGCTGCCTGGAGGTCTTTGTTCTGAAGATCAGGTTTCCTAGATAATAACAAAGAAACTTAAGAGGATTGTGTTTTACAACCATGCAGTTTATGTTACCAGTACAGAATCTGGAGTGCTGGGTTAGATCAACCTGATACTTGTCCTCCAAACCAGATCCTCTGTTTTTTAGCTCACTGCCATGGGCAAAACATCTCGAAACATACTGAAAACATACCAATCGAAAGAGCACAGGATAAAGTTTCATTTAGCTTGGTATAGCTTAACCCACAAGGACAATAAATTAAATATTCAAAGCACATAGGCTCTTAATTCCTCATAGCTTCCTACAGAGGTTTAAGAACTTATCTGTTCCAAATATAGAGCCCTAAGGCTAAATATTTTAATTTAACCATGAGTAAGCTTAAATGTATAAGGTGTCTGCAGGTTTTTTGTTCATTTGGTGACTCTAGCAATCTAATTACTGGCTTAACTGTACCGACGTCCCACAGCTCTTCAGGTGCTACTATTTTAAAAAGACCTTGCAAAGCTACAGACACACTCCAGAACCAGGATTGGAGACCCCCGAGTTTGAATATCAGAACTAATGTGAACCCACTGCACAGCATATGCAACGCAAATTTCTGTTTTGGGGCTTACTTGCTTTTATCCAGCTCTGAGGAGAATCTTAAATCCTGCCCTTCTTTACTGGAAGAAAGCTCTTCCCCTACAGGAGCCCGTCTTTCGAAAGACGGAGGGATGTGAACATGCAACCCTTCCCACTCGCTTTCCTTCTGAGATTCCTGCTGGATGATTGGGTATCCATCTGGGAGAAATCCATCCTCCTTCAAAGATTTCACTCCAAGCTCCTCCCAGTTAAGCGGACAGTCTGAACACGGAGGGGTACTGAGGTGACTTAGGTTGTCCAGTCCCAGAAGTGTGGCATGATCAAAGGCTTTGTATTCAGGGTATGGGAAAGGGCCTTCAGGTTTGTATGGTTGTTCGCCAATCTCCCAGTCACTGGCCAAGGGCAGTGATGATGCGTACAATGTCCTGAACTCATTGTCAAACGACTCCACCACCTCTCCATTCAACACTGTCACCAGCTGTCGGTGTAGATGTGCGTCTGTCCATGTCAGACTAGGAGACAGAAACACAGGAAAGGGGTCAGTGTAGAGAAAGAAGGCTACACTAGGAGATGGGAACTAGTGCAGCTGCTTCATTCAGGTTCACTCAATCCTTAATTATATCAAGAGACATGGTCTAATCCATTATGATAAGATCAATAAGAATGGAAAATAGCTCAAACTGGGAAATGGGCAACACAAGATGTGGTCCTCTGTTCCAAGTGACATGAGTGAAACTACCCAGCCATGGGATGGAAGAAGATTCCCTGGAACTTTTCAGGCAGGAGCACCATGAAGTTCTAGGATCCACTGTCTATTATTAATTTATTTGAATACATTTAGCAGTTTCTGGGCACCTTTACCTTGGCTTTACTTTAGTCTGTGCATTCCTGCAGCTTCAAGATCTGCACTTTACTACACTGCACCTCAATGTAAAATACATTGGTGTCCTTGCGTAAACATGGCACTGAAGCATGTATCATTTCGCATCATGGTTTTCCTTAGGTCCAGTAAAGTAAAACACAGTAAAGCAAACCACTCTGTCCTCCTGAGTGACTTATCTAGCTAGCACAAGTGAGGGCATTCAAGGCTGGGTCATGTCACTAGCTGTCTGACCGGCCTCTCTAAGCTCTCAGCAACACTGACACCTGGGCATCCTGGGAACCTGCAGGTTGGCGGTGCTGTCAGTGAGAGACGCATCTCTTCCCCCAATCCAACCGTACCAGGTAGTGTCACCTGTGATGTGTTAGAAGACAAGTGGCTTGAAGGTGTGTGGGTCAGAGGAGCTTACATCCCTGTGAGCCGAAACATGAAACATACTGAGTTTACTATTCCAGACTAGGTGCATATAAAAACGCCTTTCATCAATTTTCTAAATTGCTCTATCCAGTACAGTGCTGCTGGGGAGATAGGTGAACCTGGCGTGTAATAGGCATAAGGCAGGACACACCCTGGAAGGGAAGCCAGTCCATTGCAGGACAGACACACATACACAAGCGCACACACTCACTCCAGGGCCAGTTTTCCAAGAACCCAATTAACCTACCAGTATGTGTCAGGACTGTGGAGGAAACCCACACAAACATGGGGAGAACTTACAAACCCCACACGGACAGCACTTCAAGAATTGAATCCAGGGCCCCACCTCTGAGAGGTACAGTAACTATGCTAACCACTGTGCCACTGTCCTGCTCCGACACATAGCTTACAAATCAGAAGTAAAAAATAAAGAACTATGGTAAAACCAGTGCAAAGTGGAAAAATGAAAATGAAATTTTACCAAGGTAAACTATAATATGTGTTGCTAATTTATAATCGTTCTCATGATTTTTACTATACAAATGTCAATGATCTGTAGCTATTCAGTAGACCAATAAGCTGGGGCTTAAATACTGTATGTAGGAATACCCATGATCATAAAGAGCAGGTGAAAAGTGATGTCTATCTGAATGCTGTATCTTTCTCTGCCCTCCCAAGTCCTTGTATAATGAGAGTGTTCTGCTTTCTTGCATATGGTATACAGTAGACTGAGAATGAGGAATTTAATCTGAGTATATGAGATCCTAACAGGATACAATACTCTAAAAAGTATTGGGCCAGCAGTTATTGTGACTTTAACAAACAATTTGCATTTGAATGGTAACATTTTTTCCACATAAGCCAACTTGACATTTCTGTAAACATTGTTCTGCTTCTGCCATCACTCGTTACAGTGTGTCATGATCGCCATCCCTCCTCTACAGGGCGCTCCGACCCTTTTGTGTTTTTCATTATCACGTTCACCTGCCCCCTGTTCAGTCCGGAAGCTCGGGACTCTGCATTGGAAGTCTGACGCCCGGAGGCCCACCTAGCATCAAGTCGCCCTACGTCTATAGCTTGAGGGCTTAGGCTTCCGATCGGCATCCTGTCCAAGCTGACCAAGCTTCCATTCCTGACTGTGTTTTCCCCGTAGCCCTTTTCCAGTCACTTCCGGATTATACCACCTGCACAGGGCCTTAAACTACGCACTACACGGGAGTCAGGACCGGCTCCCATTACACAGTGCAGGTGAGTGAGCCAGTTCCACAGGTGGCCAAGAGTGTCCTGGATATGATACTGCTACCATCATTGGTCATAAATAAGCCATTGGTCTTTAGAGCACATTTGAATATTTGGATTTTTGAAAGACACTGCACATAGGGTTAACCCAGCGGATTATTCCACGTTTATTTGCAAGACAAGTACATAGAGTCGCAATTGTAAACCATAAAGGAAATAACTTTTTGGGAGAAGAAGAGGAAATTCTTCTTTATTCAAAGACATCTATATGTCTGGAACTAGCTTCCCTACCAGATGCTTGAAGCCCAAACTCTAGGTAAATTAAAGAAACAACCTGAAAAAAAAATTATTAAACTACAAAACAACCAAGATTGGGGAAATAGCTTCCTCTCATTTATAACCTTTCTTATGTTCTTATCTTTCTTTGATTCACCTGCAAAAATTATTCTGCGCTATGTTTCTTCCCCTGAGGGCTAGATCCATGCCACTTTTAGTTTTACCTGTAACTTCCTAGGACTACCGTCTCCAAATCCACCAAGATGAAGTTGTCTTTCAGTTCCCCTGTGACCACCTTCCCATCCCGCGAGCAGAATGTGTTGCCTCCCAAGACGCGCACCCTCATGTTCTGTGAAGAGGAGAGAAGGAACAAGAAAAACAAGTGAGATGCTCTGGCAGCCGAGGCAGTCGTGGCACTGTCCCAATTGCAGTGTATAAATATCAGATCGTCTCTGTGAAGTGGATTCAGTGACATTGTTCCTGTGAGCATGTTACTTGTCATGGTAAATGGGGTTACAGTTCCTTAAAAGAAGAGGGTGTCCAATGCTAGCCAGTGTGTTAAGATATAAATGAGATTAAGCATGATAATCTTTACATTGATAAACATTACATCAAAAGAACTTTAATTCCAATTTTGCAAAAATATATGTGAGGAGAACATTTTGACTTCTGGAAATGAATTTATTCTTTCATCTTAAGGACTTTACAGCAGGCTGCCAGATGAATGCACTGCAGTTGCAGCCAACATGCCACTAGAGGCCACCAAAGGGCAACTGTAAATAGACACAGTAGGTGATAATTTCTTTATTGATTCAAAGTGTTTTTGTGCACATGCTCACATGTTTTTCATTAGAGGTTTGTATAAAAGAGCATGCACAAGGGCAGTCGGGTTTTCTTTTTGTAAGATGTTGAGTATGGAAGAGCCTGCAAGCACAGCCTTCTTGTTTTTGCTTCAGAGGAGTTGCACTGGTTGAGAGCAGAGTGTCACAGGCTGCTAGAGATCAGAAGAGGACTTTATTTCAGATAGAAATTCAGATTGTTTCAAATCCTAAAGACTTGCATCATTCCCTCCTCCCTGCAGGAGATGGTATATTGTGAATGTAGTTAAACCTGTTGTACATTTTTGAAGTCATGCTGCCAAACACATTCCTTTCATAGAGAGCAGTATTCACCTTGATGAAAATAAAATTGTCTGCTGCAAAAATGTCAGTGTGGGTTATCGGGTTTGGTCTTTGTTAGTCTGTCTAGCTGTCATTTCTTTGGGATTATGGTCAGAGCTATTGTTCTATCTTGTTTCTGTTTGTGTTTGGCGAATCAACCGAAAGGAATTCATGCATTGCTCTGGTGCATAAGAACGCCTTGCAGACAAAGACAACAATACTTCAGTACCTTGGAAAAATATGAAAAAGTGCATGCAAGTGTGTGTTGTGATTGAATAAGGCTGCTGTGTTTGCAGGAAAACAGGGAAACTGCACTTCTATTTACAAACAAAAATAAAAATACAACAATTAGATATGAGTCCTGCCATGTTTGTGTGTTCACAGCACCTCTCCTGTCAGTTTCTTATTCTTCGGTAGATGCTGCTTTAATTTCCAGTGTTACTTTCTGTTACATCTGCTTTCAAATCAACCAACACCATATTTATGGGACTCCGATCAGAAGACTGATCTTGGCCATCTTTGGTGTGTTGATGACATCCGTGTAATCTTTTTGTTTTTAAAAAACAACCTTAACCTCACTCTCTGCTCAGGATTCTCATCCTGCTGAAATACAAAGTCCTACAAATGTCTGAGCATGAAGTATCATATGAGCTAGTAAAATACGCTGGATGTTTGCAGCTTTCCTTGCTCCACATGTGATGCACACTTCACAGTGGAGACAGTCACAGGGGCTGAAGGGCAGAGCCAAATGCCATGTCTCACACTGAGCACAGTCAGTAGCTCGTTTTCCTCCATAAATGTGCTGGTAGTTGTTGTGGGGAAAAAGCATTTTTTGCTTGTTATGCCCTCAAAATGTAAAAAAGTACTGCGAATGAGTGCATGGACGTTCTGCAAGCACATACTTAAGGAAGGAGAGGGTTAAGATGAATTTTGTATGGGCTTTGTGACATCAGCAGCATTTCAATATAATACCGAATCAGGCAACTTTCATTTTTACTCAAACCATATTGAATGAAGATTGATCATGTTTGTATTTAGCTGTTCAATAATTCTCAGAATATGCTGTATGTTCTTGCTATTGTAACAAGATCACCTTTCTATTTATTCCAAAGACGTTAGTCTGTATTTTTTAAAAAGACCACAAATTTCTGCCTTTGTCTGTATGCGGTATGTTAAAAATATCCCAGCTTGCCACCACCCTGTAATGGGTAATGATGGCTCACTTCTTCAGTTTCTTTGGGGTGTGGTCTGTTTTTTGTTATATTTAAGCAAAAAGTTCAGGTTAAACAGAGCCACGTATAGACTGAATCCAAGGACATAGATATAGGGTCAATACCTCAGAGTGCAAAAAAACAACAGGCACTAACTGTGTACAGAATCAGGCTATTGAGTGAGATCAAAACTGGAATCTCCACAATAGCTGAGTGACCTTATTCAGGAGAAGTGAAACGAAACGCTTTATCACACACAACAATATGAGCCTTTTGCAGGAACTCCACAAGAGGAAACAGAAGAAAAATCTCTTTTTCTTTCACTCTGCTTCACTGCCAAAATATGCTTCTCAGCTGTCCTGTGTTTCCTGTGTACTCACTTAACTGTTGCTTAGTGTCATAGAAAACCCTGCACTTAAGTACTTACTGCAATTCACAGGAAAACATTTTTTTTTCATTGTCGCCTCCATTTATGTACACTACTTATTTGTTTGGATTTCTAATTGTTTCAGAATTTTGTGAGGGATATTGAATGTGTGATCCATATTTTATATGCTATATTCTGACTATTCTGCACTGAATTGTTCTCCTTTAATTAATTGTATCGCAGGACTCTTGTGCCATTTTTACTGCTTCTTTGTTTTTCCTTGAAAACAGCTCAGTTTATTTAAACTCCTACTTTTATTGCCATTATTTATAAAGCACATTTCACAATGCACTTACAAGCTGCGGTGCAAATCAAAAACCATAAACTTTTCTAAAAAGGTTCTTAAAAAGGAACACAGAGTAAATACGATAAGCATGTGACGAAACCTGTGACCACAGTAATCAAAAGAAACACCAACACGAAAAAGGATTTTGTAAAAAGGTGTTTCGCTAACAAAAATCACTTGAAAAGTTTTACAGATAAAAACACAAATTAAAATGAGTTTGGAAGATAAATGCAAACGTTTCAGCATGTCGGAAACTTTTTAAAGGTGGTGTAGAAAGGAGCTCCACATCTGTGGTCTGTGAAACTATAAAACTGAAGGTCCAGTCTTCTTATTTTAAACCCTGGGCATGTTAAACTCTGTGACTCTCAGGTTTAGAGCAGGAGCACTAATCTTAAATAGTGAGGAGCTAAACCATTAAAAGCTTCATATCTTAGTAATAACTATATAACCAGAAGCCAAAACATGTGCTATATGCATGCAAGAATCAGCCCTTAGTAACAAGCTGGTAGCCAGTTCTGAATGTGTCGCTGTCTTGTAAGGACCTTATCTGTTGCACCAATGAGCAGAGCATTATAGCAATTGATTCTTGATTAAATAAAAACATGGCAAAGCTTTTCAGTTCCGGTTAAAGACAGGAATGGTTTTACATAGGCAACATTACGTAAATTGAATAAAGATGCCTTTGCAACATTTAGTTGAGTCCAGGTTTTTAAGGGACATAGGAGAGTTAATTCCCTTAGCATTAATAAATGTAGTTTATATCGAAAGTTCAGGGGAGAGGACAACAGCCAAATTCAGTATTGGTGTCAGTAATATGTTATCAGTTTGGTGTCATTTCCTTCTCTAAAACACTATATATACTGGATGTACTGTAATCCCCTTCTCTCCCTCCCATACTGTACGTTTTTCTGCACTTCCACCACATCTCCCCCTCTGTTGCTGCCCCCTGGTCACTCCTCACTCTGGGGGTCTCAACCTTCTTGTCCCCTAGCCAGGAGGTCAGCTCTCCCCCAAGTGGGTTAAGCCAAATTATATTTCCTAGAGCCCTCCATAATCCTTAATTATTGGGTTTTTGTTATTCCTAGTGAACTAGTATTAGCGCTGTGTTTTGCCATAAAGCCAAAGTGAAAAGGTTAATAAAGCTCATTAGCAACCAATGATACTAGTGCTGATTACTCAGTTGATGAGTGCACAAAACTTCCTATGATCACCAAATTCCTATGTAAATCCATTGTTGTTTTTCTTGTAGTCAAATAATATTTTGTTAGAGGGCTCCTACAACGCACTTCCATCACTGTCTGCCTGTTTTGGGTATGATGACTAATATAATAAGTGTGTTTGTGTATGAGGATTGTTCTGCTGGCTCCCAGATGGGTAACACCCATACAGAGAGCTGATAGCAGAAACTATAACTCAGATAAAGCTGTGATGAATCTGGGTTTTTCAATGTGTAGGCTGTTTAATGGATTCTCCACATAAGAGTGTTCAGCCAGCTTGCTTTGAAATGGATGTCCACCGCTGTCCACTCAACATCCAACCTTGAGGCTGGTTGTCATGGAGACATTACAGTATCATTGGTGTGACCTGGTACCGAGTGAGAAATGATGTAATTTAACAGAAGTTCAGGATGATGTAAAATCATACGTACAGTATAAATACTCCCTGGCTGCCCTAAACTGAGCAAATCTTATCTAGAGTCTGTCCCTTCGCCCCAACTTCACCCTTGCAGCTGCCTCCCTAGTTCATTCCTCAGACGTTAGTGGGTTCAGCTCTGATCTTCACTGTCATTTCCTCAGCCAGTTAATGTCAAAGTAAAAAGTACACTGTACCAGCTCATTTTCTCATTATTAGAATCAGGCCAAACTACTGAACTGGCAGTTCCTGCAATGGCAGATAGAAACCAGGGTCTTTCCTGAGAAGGCATTACCTGGTGTTTTAGCCTGCTAAGCGTGCAGTGCCCCAGTGCTCCTCTCCGGTTCAGGATGATGTACACCGGAGTGCCGCGATCCGCCGCGCCCAGCAGGTCGGCGATCACGACATTGTCTGTCAGTTTGTCCGTCACCACCGCGACCACCTGGCAACCAAAACACATCAGTCTTCCCACAGGTGAGGGGATTGGGGGGTGTAAGGGACTGGTAAATTCCCTTTCAGTACCTAGCAGTTGAAATAGCCTGCCTTTAGGAGCAAAGCTATAGAGCTATTTTAAAAAACGAAAGCAAGATGCCCTTCCTGTACCAAATAATTTTAACAATATTACATGCCTTTGTAGGTGATCTGTGCCAAAGGGTTTTACTATCCCTCTAACAAGCACTAACAAGATACTGCCTATTGGACCTCAGGGTTATATGTCACAACTGTAAAAAACTCAAAGTGAGTAAGTAGCAGAGTCACAGGCTTGAACCAGGAACCTCCTGGCAACAAGCCCTTTATCTGGATCATCCTCCACCTCCACCAGAAAATTGCAATACACACATCAGAGCAAAGGATCTCATGCCAGACACAGAAGATCACCAATATCACGCAAACTAAAACAGCCGCCTTTCGGAGCAAGAATTCTTAATTCAAAAACTATAACAGCAGGTGTAAAACATAAATTACAGACACTGTATTTTTTTTAATTCATCCTCTTGCTTTGCATTTTAAATTTCTTTCTATTTATGTGATTTATTTTTTAGATATTGTTTGGGTTGCGATCAAAGGATGAAAGATAGCACCTTGTAATATTGGTATATCTGTTGGCTTGTTGCAATGATGAAATGAATCTCAGACACAGCAGCAGCTGGTAGAAGCCAACTCTGAGGTGACAGACGAGTAACCTGGGTCAAGGTCACCCGTGTGATGAGCTGATCCAGTGTTTTTCATGCACACTCTTGGATCGGGGTTTCAGTATCAGCATGTCCTTTTGGTGACTGCCAGCAGCAATGGGAAAAACCCATCCCTACCTTGCTGGCTCCTTGGATCAGCTTCCTCACCACCTCTCGGATTTGCGGTGCTCCCTGAGTGGGTGGGCTCGTGTAGACTGTCGCCCGGGCGATCCCTTTCCAGCTCCCGTTTTCCGGCCAGCCCATCTCTAGGCTGGGAGCCGGGACGTCTGTGTGCTGAGGCCAGTAACTGACGGAGAACTCCCGCCAGGCCAAGTCCTCGCCCCCCTCGCCCCCCTCGTTCTCCAGCTGCACCTCACTGTGCCTGTAGTCCTGGGCCCAGCCGTCGATCTGGGCCACCTCCTCTGGGGAGAGGAACGGGCCGAGCCTCTCCAGGCTGAGCTTCGTGTGGAAGGCTCCCGGCCCGGCGCTCAGTAGCGACTCCAGCGCCCGGCGCTCCGGCTCGCTGTAATGGAACTCCGGACTGGACTCCGTGATCGGGAGGAACTCCGCGTCCTCGTTCAAGCTCTGCTCCTGGGAATTAGACATGCCGTTCGCGGACAGGACGATCGGAAAAATTTCAGCTGAAACTCCTAGAGGGATTTCTCTTCGGACCACCCTAGGCAATGAAAATGGTTATTCGAGGGCTTGCTGATAATGAGAACAATGATCTTCTCTGTCGCTTGTGACTGAACCAAAAATCACAGTACTTACCCAATCATAGATATAATAATAGGCTCCTCACTTTGATACTGGCGAAATCCATTGGGAAACTGGATCTCCTTACTCCTTACAAACAATTTGTAGAGTGGATTGAAAGAGGCTGCTCTTGTTGAAGCAGCTACGTCAGAGGTGTAAAATGTATCTCTCTTAACGCACAGAGTGATGGCAAGAGCAGTGAGGAACAGGTAGCATTCAAGCACACAGGTGGACCTGGGGCTGCCCTGTAAGAGAAGCGGAGCATGAAAATTAGCAATAGTGGAGGAGACCCCCTCTGTCTTGGGGCGTAGCCGAGAGTAATCCGGCCCCTGGGCAGGGTGAGACACCTACCCACCAGTCATCAGGCTACAGTCTGGCACAACACACGTACTGCGGAATAACAATATGTTTATGCAAATCCATTGTAAACGTGCAGTGTATGTGTGTTTTGCATGAAACCGTAACCACCAAGTGAAGGGCTCACTCAGTTGTTGTTTGTACAATGTGCAAATAACTTTAGATTTTTTTCAGAAGGCTGGATTTCTAAAGCACCAAAATCAGCTGTTAAACAACTTGAGAATTCGAGAGCGGCACGAAAGGGGCTGTCAGAGAACCAGAAAATTAAATAAGCAGAACTCTTGCTGGAAAGTCCTTGAGAGAAAATAGTTGCCTTCAGTTCATTTCATTTACTTATTTGATGGGAGAGTCCTGTCAGAGGGTACCTGTCATACAGTGACAAGAGGAGATGATTTAGACAGAGTTCACCTCTGCTCTGCTTATCTTTGTATCATGAATTCCTGGAAATTCAGCCCCAAACCGTTGGTGCTCTTTCGAGACGTGAAAGAACTGGAATTATAGTGTTAAATAGCATTGAATGAACCATTTAGAGACAGCATTAACACTAATGACAATTCAGAATAAACACTGAATTGTGGTGGCATTGTGTCAGACCACATACTGTAGAATCACCTGGGCACAGCACCAACAACAACAACCACACTGTAGGCAAGTGCAGGTTGTCAAACAGTTCTATTACATTCTTAGAAAATGGAAGACTAAAATGTATTTCTTTTTGGAAACCTTCAGTCCAATCAGAATTGTCTATCAAACAGCAAGCCGAGGCATGATAAATACCACCACTGACAATTAGTGACAATTAGACAATAGGTGCTCACGTTCTATTCTCTCAAATAAGAAACTTTATCGATAGATAGCAATGGTGCAGAGATATCCACCGAAGACAAAAATATATCAATTTACTGGCACAAGGCCATCATGTAGGCTCAGTCATAATCACATCCTTACGTCAAGGAAAATGATGATGGAGTCACAGTAACCTTATGTGAAGCATAAAAACAAAAATGTCAGGCAGACTAAAAGCCTTCCTTTGGAATTTATACCATTAGCAGTTTTCAAATGCAGAAGACACAAGTTGCTTTATTGTATACAAGCCTCTGCGTTATTCTTTTCTGCAGGATTTAACCTTCTGTGGGGCCTGTGGATTAATTCGCTATTACCACTTTGTGTGTGGAGCAACTGTGTATACAGTATATATACTTTTAAATGATTTCTATTCAGCCTTGGTGTTATAAAGTCATAAAAACAGCTTTGATAATGCACATGACTTCTACAAATGCTTTTCCTACGTCCACAACTGTTATTAACAATATAACATTTTATACTATTTTAATGAATACAATATAACATTTATATTATTATTTTGTATCGTGAAAATGAAAAGCATGGTTTTGATGCCAACAAATCTGATAAAAGTATTTACAAAAAAAAACGATTATGTATAAAATGGAATTACAGTTGCAGTAAATGATTGGAAAAGCCCTTTTGCTGTAAGTGTGTTACAGCAGGTGAGCAGAGTGTGTACTCAATTGCAGTTAAAACTGGTAATGTCACAAGAACATAAGAAAGAGAAGAGGCACATCTAGTCCAAATGGTAGTTAATAGTGTTACAAGGATCTCATATGGTCATTTCTTGAAAGAAGCCAGGGAATGTGATTCAAAAACATGACAGAGACTGACTGGCACTTGAACACCAGCAGCAGGTACAAAACTAATTCAGTCCCTCACCCTGAGCAGCAGCTCTCCCAGAGAGATCTCATCTGTCATCGACAAACACGTTCCCTCTCTGTCCTGCCTTCCTGCTCTTGCACCTCCATCTCTCCGAACCACATTCCTACTCTCCTCTCCATTTTCCATCTCATTTTTCAGTCTCTCTTTGCTATTTTCAGTTCATTCTCTATATATTTTTTAATTTTCTCACCTCTGAGTACTTCGGGTTTTCTGTGAAGAAGAAGGATCAGCAGCCAGTATTCGCTTGCATCACGGGCTCTCAGACACTATGTATTCCAGAGCATTCTCTGAATGCATTGTTACTCCTTTTTCATTTTCTTTTTGATATTCTAATTCCAGGCTCTTCCCAGGATTGTATTTCATTCATTCTGCTTTGTTGCCTTTGGAGCCACTGTCTTTCACCACCGAATATGGAATCACATGGTGCTCCAGTTCTCGGCGATCCAGAAGAACAGGTTCGCCTGGTGAAATATTGAAGGAGGCTCCAAAGAGCAGAGCCAACCCTGGGGAACTTCAATAAAAGAGAAATGTGACATTTGTGCTCAATTGTCTTTTCCTTTCAGCCTCCAGAACTGAAATCTGAAAGTCTGCCAGTGTGTAAACTCATCAGGCTCAAAGCGCTGAAAAAGCTGAGACACAGATGTGTGCACTGCAGAGGGAAATAGCTATTCTGATCTTTCAACCTTTTCTAGTTTCCCCGGTTCTATGTATTTAGGTAAATTTATTGCGAGTGGGCCCACATGTGAAGTATGGTAAGAATTTCACCTCTGCAATACACACTGCCCTGAACTTATGCAATCTTTGATTGTCTCTGTTGTCTCATTACTCAGGCTCCTGGAACGTCATGTTTTCACATCTTTTTCAAACTCTTCATTTCACACAGACCTCTGACATCGGGCTGACAACATGTAATGTCTGATGAGTTACCCCTCCAAGCTTTTCCTAACCACTTTATTGAATATGGGATAGTGGGAGAGCCGGAGCCTATCCCAGCAAGCAACAGGCAGAAGGCAGGATAGACCCTGGATGGGACACTAGTGCATCGCAGGACAGGCAGGCACCATTTACCTACCACCTTGTCTTTGTACTGTGGGAGGAAACTGGAACCCATGCGAACTTGGGGAGAACATACAGACTCCACACAGACAAATTGTAGAGTGGATTGAAAAAGGCTGCTCTTGTTGAAGCAGCTACGTTGGAGGTGTATAATGTATCTCTCTTAACGCACAGTAGTGATGGAAAGAGCAGTGAGGAATAGGTAGCATTCAAGCACACAGGTGGAATTGAACCCAGGGCCCCAGCACTGCGAGGCAGCACAGCTGGTCACTGCACCACAGTGCATTTACAGATATTTATTATTTAATCAATCGTGTTTCTGCTCTTCTGTACTGTTCTGGACAGGACAGAGCTCAAGGTGGAAAAACATTCTAACTTTCTAAAAGGAGCTGTGAAGGTAAACACTAATTTTGCAGATATTTGTGTAGCCTTTAAATAATGTACACAAACTTCATTTGTGTACCTTAGTTTACTGTCAAGCTTTATTGCAGGTTAATATAGCAAAATGTTTCAGATTATCTTATTGTAAATACACTTTATTTTGGGATATGCACATCACATAGTTTTAACCATTAAGCAGCCTTTAATAAACTATTTGTAAATGACAAATATCTAACTTCAATTACTATACAGTTAATCATTATAGTCACTTATTGTTTAAACTATTTAATGTATTACAGGATATAAAGGGTTTATAGGTGAATTAGCAGCCTCTATACAGAAGTGTTACCTGTTAAGAGACAGTTTAGCAATCAGCCCACAAAGTTCATTTTAATATCCTTTAATATAATATCAAACAGCAAAAGGCTAATATTTATTATTGTAATGGTCAGAAAACATCATGACTTCTAAAAGTATGAGGAAACATGACTCATCTGTAAATGTTATCTTTTTATAATTGGTTTACAATATAATACTTTATACATGATAAGAAAATATGTTGCATTAAAATAAACGACTATAGAAATAGCTTTATTTATTTACAAAATCGTCCTTCAAAACAGTAAACATTCAAGAGAGCATGATTTTTTATAGGAGAGCATGTGTATAATATATTTGTACACATAATATGAACACTAGACATGGAGCTGTAATGTGCTGTAATGGATGCTAGGATATACAGCAGGATGTTAATTCTGGCATTGCTAAATGCTGTGTAAAGATTACTTTCTGAAGCTGCGTGATGAGTTTGTTTTTCCTTATTCAGAACAGTGCTACAATTCTGACATGGGTGAAAATGTCTTTCTACTGTATATCCAGCCCTGTGTCTCCAGGACGGCTGTCCAGTCCTGGTCCCAGGAACCAGCTGTGCTTCTAATTGCTAAATTGAGCTTTTGATTGAACAGAATCTTTGTCATTATGAGCGCCTATGAAGCTGGTGATTTCAAGTTATTTCTCACATTGTTTAGTCAATAGCTTAAAATAGCTCCAAGGATCCAAAGAATAGAAATCTAACTGAATTAATGACAGAACTAGGTAAATGCAAGCTCAGCTGGACTAAAACATAGAAGATACTATAGCCCTCTGCTTTAGATAATATGATATGAGGTGAAAAGTGAACAAAAAAAAGGATTTTAAGTTGCTTTTGAGCCTTTTTACAACTTTCCTCAGGCGAATACTGTCCTCTACAGAGATCAAAGCCACTCTTTTCTGTAACCTTCCTTTACTCCCTGAGGATTTCAAACACCTAATCTCAGCTCAGCTCTCAGCCTTCAGCCCCTGCATTCCAGACCTTCCAGCCACAGCAGAGGTGCAGGCAGGTGAGTTATTCCTTGTAGCAAAACCTGTGGGCAAAACCCTGTTACCCCCATCTGTTGTTGTAGATGCAGCAATATGGCTCAGTAAAGATTTTGTAAGAAAAGACAAGCAAGTGTTGGCAATTTATTTCTTTCAAAACCTTGCAGGCCGCAGTCCAATCAGCCTTTGTCTGAGGTCAGTGAGATCTTTCAGCCTAGTTTTGTGACTGCAGTACCCCAGCAAAAGGAATGAACTCAACTAAGCTGTCATTGCTGGTAGTGTATCACAGTACTGTACTACCATATGTATCACAACAATTAACTACTGTAATTTTTTTCTATATTGTGACTTTGTACATTTTAAAACTGTGGAAATGTGGAATGTGGAAACTCTTACTGAACCACAGTGTTTTTTTATCCAACCTGAACCAGACATTGCACAGAGATTGCACATACTGTACAGAGATTGAAGCTCTTTGTTGTGAAGGCTTCTTCCCCACTTGGTGGCTTGTTCCAAATTCACACAACACTTAAAGAAGGCTTAAAGAAGTGCCTCTTGTTTGGGGTTTTACATGCTCATTTATGAACATCTTTGGCTCAAAATCTGTTAATAGAAAATAGAAGCAGTAGACGGGGATCATGATCTAAGCTCACATGAAATCTTTCAGCCTAGGGCTGGTTCTAAAGAGTATATCTGCTTTACATGCTCAGACCTGGAAAAAACATGAACTATGCTATAACAGAGTAAATGCATATCACTAGTTTATATTCTTGTGTAGAAAATAACCTGTAGTAAATTTGGGAAAAAATAAAAGTATACAAAATGCTTATGGGTATAATACAAAACAGGGCTCTGTCAATATACATGGGTCTCACATTAGACATTTACACAGTGGCACTTGTCTTCTCTCTGGTGGGCGCCTGGGCTCACTCTTTCTTCCGCAGATGGAAGTACATCACTCCTCCACAGAGCAGCAGCGGCACGCACAGCCAGGCCAGTACAAAACAGTATCCGAAATGGCCGCCGTCCGGACGTTTCCTGCTGTCCCGCAGGATCTCCTCGTGGTGGACGGTGTAGATGAGGGCCGCTGAGAAATCCGTGAGACCTGACACGAAGGAGAAAAGAACGCAGTGGGGTTTATAGCAATTCTTCTGCATTTACAGACCCGTTGTTTATATGTGAGCTCTAGGTTTAAATTGAAAATGAGTGGGTGGCAGTGGTAGCATTGCTGCCTCACAGAGCTGGGGTCCTCAGATCAATTCCAGACCTGGGGTATTGCCTGTGTGGAGTCTGTATGTTCTCCCTGCATTCTTGTGGGCTTCCTCCAGGTGCCCCAGCTTCCTTCCACAGTCCGAAGACATGCTGGCATTTTAAATGATTCCTGAGAAAATTGGCTCTGGTGTGAGTGTGTCTGTGTGGGCCCTGCGATGTACTGGAATCCTGTCCAGGGTGAGCCTTGCCTTACACCTATGGCTTGCCAGGATAGGCTCTGGCACCCTGAAGTGGAAGAGAAAAATAATGCCACCCAGAATTCTGGGTAGATCTTTAGCGACAAGTAAAACAAGATGCAGCCAGAATCATGAAATGTGCACAGAATAGCAACTTTCCATGCGTTAAGATCTCAGCTCTATTTTTTTTTAGATCCTGCAGTTTGAAAACTGTGACACATTTAGGAAAGGGTTGGTTTATGCTCTGCTGACAGTACAGCTTGTAGGCAAATTAACTGTTGTAACAGAGAGGACTAGAAGGCCTGCAGCACTGCAGAAGCAGGCACACTGTGAATATTTTTAACACACATACCACTGTCATTGTTTCCCAGCTAAAATATATTATTAAACTATTATTAAACTTAAGCGTAGAGCAAAAGTTTTATAAACTTGACAGGAACAACAGGAATATCTTTTAGCTGGGAAATAATGACAGTGGTATGTGTGTTATAAATACTCACAAAGTTTCTCAAACAATATATAAATAGGATGCGCATTATTTCAAATAGCAGTATTGTTTTGTTATGTGATATGTGCTTATTAATATCCTTTTTCAGGAAACACAGTAAAAAACTGAACATTTTTTACTTTGTACTGTCAACACTACAATTATGAAAGGGAGACCACTATGAATCCAAGAATTGTTAAAACAATTTAACTATGCGTAGGTTTACAAATACAAGACAGACACACTTCTTTTCCTCCTTGATGTCCTGTTTCATTGTATTTTAATCGTGAAATTCTGTTTATATGCCAAGGAAACAATAAAGTTCATCCATCATCCTTCCTTTCTTTTTCTAACCACTTTATCGCAGCAAGCAACAGGCACAGGGCAGGCTACACCCTGGATTGGACGCCAATTCATTACAGGGCACCCGCACTCTGACACCAGGTCCAATTTTCTTAGAAGTCTATTAACTTTCCAGTGTGTCTTTATACTGTGGGAGGAAACCAGAGCTCCTAGAGGAAACACATGTGAACACAGGGAGAACATACAACTGCACACAGACAGCATCCCAGGTCTGGAATTGAACCCAGAATCCCAGCACTACAGGGCAGGAATGTTGATGTTTCTGCCACCCTTCATCTGTCATATGCTTTACAAAGAACATGTCTGGATTTAATCTGACTGAAAATAACACCCTATCTGACTTTGTCTTGTGATGCTAAAAACTGTAGAGAATGTGTTCACATCTCACCAATGGCTCTGTTTGTCCAAATCAAACTATCACCAGTCTTATTCTCCAGCATGTCATAGACGTAAAACTGAGATTACCAATGATGGCAGATTATCATCCAGAAATTAGAATTATTCTGCATTTTTTTAATTTACTAAAGTGCCAGAATTCCAAACCCAAAGATGAAATGGAACCAAGGCCTTGAAAAATGTCCACACAGATATGTACTCAAGTGGACACTAAAACAAAGTGGGTCAGGATGTAAATCTTCATGTACATGCTGGCAGAAACCAGGAACAAATTGCCCAGCCATGTTCCATCAATCAGTTTGATTCTTATAAAGCGCCTTTCTGTTTAAATGTGAAAATGAAATACATTTTTGAAACAAGTATGTTACAATATGATCCAAGGGACTCTTGGATCAGTAAGCACTCAGAAGGCTGACTGACCTGCACGTTCAAACTTTCTTTCTAGTAGGTAAACAGTAAAGAGATATAGGCAGCAGATATATCACCCTGCAGCTCACAGCTGGCAGCCCACTGAATCTCAGCAGGTGTGAGCCTGGCCTGGACCTGGATGAGTGACCTCCTGGGAAAAACTAAGGTTGCTGCTGGAAGAGGTGTTAGTGGGGCCAACAGGGGGCATTCACTCTGCGGTCTGTGTGGGTCCTAATGCCCCAGTATAGTGATGGGGATACTAAACTGTAAAAATCTTCTTTCCTTTGGATAAGATGTAAAACCCTGTTCCTTAAAAATCCCAGGGCATTTCTCAAAAAGAGTAGGGGTGTTACCCCAGTGTCCTGGCCAAATTTCGCCCTGGCCTTTACCAGTCATGGCCTCCTAATAATCCCCATCTATGAACTGGCTTCATCACTCTGTTCTCCTCCCCACTGAGAGCTGGTGTGTGGGGAGCGTTCTGGAGCACTATGGCTGCCGTCGCATCATCCAGGTGGGGCTGCACACTGGTGGTGGTGGAGGGGAGTCCCCATTACCTGTAAAGCGCTTTGAATGGAGTGTCCAGGAAAGCGCTATATAAGTATAAACAATTATTATTATTGTGACCCACTATGCCTTCCTCCAAATCTTTTTCTAGATCTCTTCGTCATGACGAAGCTACATTACCTTTGCTTACTGCCCTATCTTTCTCACACCTGAAGAAGGCTCCACGGCCAAAACGTTGTGTTTTCTTTTTTCTCTTTTCAGAATGGAATAAACCTATTACTTGTTCCCTTGCAAGCTACGCATGCTGACGCAGCTACCCACCTGAACTACTACTACTACTACTTATTATTATTATTATTATTATTATTATCGATAATAATAATAAGTAGGAGGTGATGCATTCACACAGCACCTAGAGTACATTGTTGGGTGTTTGCTGTTTCTGCCCCTGCAGTGTCATTGACTGGAGCTGACTGGCACGCAGGGAATCTGGAGCTCCACCCTGAGGCAGGAGCAGCCAGTCCCACAGTCCTCACGCCATTGGCATTTCCTGCTGGCTCTTTCTTTTGGCTTGGATTTCTTGCAGCTTTTATCCCGATACTCATTGCCGTTGTTTGGGTCTTAGGTTTTCCATTTGCCAGTTTGGGCTGTTTCGGCCCAGACCGGAGGGTCGTTGTTATCCTCAGAACGATGGCGGCCTGCTTTGACCGGCCCTGTGAAAGTGACTGGCGTGAAGGGGCTCTGGGCTGAAATAATACAGAACAAAACCACACAGCTGCCTAAAACCTGAGTCAGCGGGCTGTGACTAGTGCTGCAGGTTTTAAAATTAAATCCATTCATCCCTGGCTCGGCTGATCTGGGTGCATCTGAGAAAAGTTAACAGAAAATTATACCCTAGTAGTAAATGTAAGGAGGAGCCATGGCCTGCCCTGGCCGAGTGGAGCCTTTGGCTGCACTGATTAAAGGCCGCCACTAGAGGGTACTACAGAGACGGCCACTAACGTCTAGTAAATCACTGGAATCATTCACCTATTACAAACTGTTCACTGGCTGTGAATTGTGTGATTGGGGAATATGGGAATTTCTCATTGTGGTGTATTTGTATGTAGAGGTGGGTCTGGTGCCCTGAGCTTGTCTGTAGATCTGCAAGGTTCTTGGTAATGGTAGGAGCTTAACCTGCAGTATATGTCTGTGCAATTTGTATCTGTGTGTCAATACTCTCTAGGGTACAATCTCCTACAGTTTAGAAACAGTTAATCAAGAGCTAGATCTTCCTTTATTTTTGTAGCCTTGTATTAAATTTGACAAATTCAGCATATATGTATTTTTGTCTTTATTGTTTCACTTACATTTTAAAATATCTATGCATATATAAACCATCAGAACTATGAATTACAAATTAAATTAGCTTTGTAAGGATGTGCTATAAAATAAATGCACAAATGCACAGGAATTATTTTGACTATTATCATTACTATAGATGTGCAACTGGTGTTCGTTTAATATCTATCATTTGTTTTGGAATAAATAAGAGGAAACACATGTGA